CTCGCCCCACCACCCCGCGTGAGGACATGGTGATGGGTACGTTAGAGGAGGCTGGATCGAAAGACACGTCGTCCGGGGATGAGAGTCAATGTTTTGAGATAAAAAACGTCACTCGTCGTCGGCCTAAAGAAATCAGTGTCCCGTCTCCAAGGGGCAGGTCAGCCAAGTGGTGGCGGCGTTTGAGGCAGAGTTGACTATTGCTCAAGCGGAGAAGGGATCGACTGTGACTAACGACGTAGGTGTTGTGGTTAACATGATGAATAGTGGCCAGGAAGTGAAGGATGCTGGGAGGATTGATGAGTATGGGTCTAATATGCTTAATCCACCTTCGAGGTTGCATAAACGTCCCTTGGAGGTCATTGAGGGTGAGGTGGTTCCCCTCCCACACCCAAGAAACAGTTCGTGGAATTTGCTGAAGTTAATGACAAGGTGGAGGAAGCCAGCCTGGAGTGGCCCCAGTCGGATAAATGAGGATTCTAGCCTGGAATGTGAGAGGCATTGGACCTTCCCTCATATTCCAAATGGCTGTGGGTTTGGTCCATTCGAATAAACCGGATCTCGTATTTTTCTCTGAAACGCGATCGAGCCGGCGTGTTGTCTCCCGGTGTATGCGGGGTTTAGGTATTGATATTTCTCGGTGTTTTTTTGTGGATGCGCTTGATGCCTCTGGTGGTTTAGTCGTTGCGTGGTCCCCGGAGATTGATACTTCGGTGTTTTATTCGTCCAACTTCTGTATTTGTTCCCAAATTAATGAAGTGAATTTTTCTTATATCGTGGTTTGTGTTTATATAAGTTGTTCTGTTACAACTCGAGCAACCCAATTGGCGCATCTCCGTGAAATCTGTTCTGCCTTCCAGCTTCCCTATGTGGTTATATGCGATTTTAATACTACCCTCAGTGCGAGTGAAAAAGATGGTGGTAACCCTTGGAATGTCAATAATTCGATCAGTCTGAGAGACTTTATCCATGACCTGGGGCTCCATGATCCGGGCTACCAGGGTGACCTCTTCACCTGGACGAATAAGAGAATGTGTAATGCCTGCATTCGGGAACGTCTGGACCGAGCCCTCTACTCCCAGCTCTGGATTGACCGGTTCCCTGAAACTCTGGTCAAACACTTTACGGACCAAGGGTCTGATCACAGAGCTATTCTCCTAGTCTGATAAGCCTTATGTTCGAAATAGCCGCCCTCTCTTCCGCTTTGATGCCCGATGGGCGGATAACCCTGAAGTTAGGGTTATGGTTACCTATGTCTGGCAGGAGGATATCCAGGGAACCCCGATGTTCTGTCTATGGGAACGCCTGAAGAAACTCCGTCATCTCTTGTATGACTGGAGTAGGGCAGGAACTACTAACTCCTTGCGGAATATTCGCACACTTCAGAGTGAAATTGAAAGGGTTAAGCTAATTCACCCTATTGACTAGGATAGGGTCTGGGAGCTTGAGATCGAACTCAACCGACAATGGGAGGCAGAGGAGTTATTGGCAGCAGAAGTCCAGGGTCCATTGGTTAAAAAAAAGGGTATAAAAACACATCCTACTTTCATACAGTGACTAGGGCTCGTCGTAAAAGAAATTTTGTGGCTGGCCTCCGTGATGACAATGGGGCGTGGATCACTGATGAATCTGGGAAAGCTGGTATTGCTACTTCCTTCTACCAACTCCTATTCACTACGGAGAATCAGGTGCTTAACATGGTTGACAGAGTGGCCTCTTTGCCTATCACGCGGAGTGTTACCCCTGAGATGAATGACAGTCTAACGGCTGCAGTTCTTCCTGCTGAGATCCGCAAAACAGTGTTTGCTATGGGATCGAAGCAAGCGCCAGGCTCGGATGGATTCACTGTAAAAAATTTCAAGGCCTTCTGGGACATTGTGGGTGAGTCCGTAGTTTTGGCAGTTTGCTCGTTCTTTGCTACTGGTCGGATGCTACGGAGCTTCAATCATACTTGGCTCACACTGATCCCCAAGGTCGAGAATGTGGAGTCTATGCGACAACTGCGCCCGATTAGCTTATGCCAGTTTGTTTTAAAATTATTACTAAGATTATGGCAGAGTGTCTTGCTCGTATCCTGCCTAGTATTATCTCTGAGGGCCAAAATGCATTCATCCGTGAACGTCAAATTGTTGAGAATATCCTCCTCGGCCATGAGTTAATGCACTATCTGAAAATCAAAATGCGAGGTAAGAAAGGGTACATGGCTCTAAAGGTTGACATGGAAAAGGCCTATGATAGAGTCGAATGACCCTTTCTCCTTACGGTTTTGGGTAAGATGGGCTTTAACTCCATTTGGCAAGGATGGATTAGTGAGTGCCTCATATCTTCCTCTTTTACTGTTTTTGTGAATGGGACCCCTTCGGGTTATTTCACTCCTTCCAGGGGGGCTGCGGCAAGGGGATCCTCTTTCCCCTCTGTTGTTTGTGCTGTTCACTGAGGGATTTGCGGCGCTCCTTCGCAAGGCTATTTCGGAGAAACGACTGGAGGGAGTGAAGGTGGCCCCTTGAGCTCCTCGGATATCACACCTATTCTTTGCAGATGATTCGTATTTGTTCCTACGCGGTACTCTTAGGGAGTATGAGAATCTGATTGAGGTCTTGAATGAGTATGAGGAATTGGGTGGCCAACGGGTGAATCTGGCCAAGTCGGCGGTATGCTTTAGTAAAAATATTGTCCGCGCAGACCAAGAATTCTTGGCTTCGATACTGGGTGTCGGGGCAGTAGGGGTCCAGGATAAGTATTTGGGATTGCCGATGTTAATTGCTCGGTCCAAAATGGCCACGTTCAGGTATTTGGAGGAGAAACTTCTTGAACGGCTCCAGGGGTGGAAGCAGCGGACCCTGTCGAGGGCGGCCAAAGAGACTTTGATTAAGTCGGTGGCTTTGGCTTTGCCGCTACATGTTATGTCCTGTTTTAAGCTTCCTCTCTCTCTGTGTCGGCTTCTGGATAAGCATGTGGCCCGATTCTGGTGGGGTGATGCTGAGGATCACTCTCGGATTCGGTGGATATCTTGGCGTAACCTATGCCGAAGTAAACATGATGGGGGTCTAGGGTTTCGTCGGTTTGAGCAATTTAATCAGGCCTTGCTTGCCAAGATTGGATGGTGTATCCTTATGGACCCTCAATCTCTTCTGGCTCAGGTTTATAAGGGCAAGTATTTCCCCACTGAGTCCTTCCTTGATGCCTCAGCTCGATCCCGACCCTCATGGGGATGGCAGAACATTTTGTTTGGTAGAGAGTTATTGCCGAAGGGATTAAGATGGCAGATTGGCAATGGCCAAAGTGCGTCTCTTCTTAACTCTAACTAGATCCCTATGCTCCAATTCGATCCCCCCAGGTTCAACCCTCGGGTTTTGTCGGAGGGCGGAGGGCCGCTGGTTGCGGAAGTTATGTGTCCTGGTGAGGGATGTTGGGATGTGCGCATGCTTCATCAATGGTTTGATCCTCCGACTTGTCAGACCATTCTATCTATCCCTCTTCCGCGACAAAATGTGGCTGATAGGCTAATCTGGCATGCTACTAAGGATGGGGTCTGCACGGTCAAATCAGCGTACCATTTAGCGGTCTCGATTGATAGGCGACGGGAGGGTTGGCGTTCCACGGTTGGATGGATGGATAAAGCCTCTTGGATTCGATTGTGGGACGCAGACATACCACCGAAGCTTAAAATCTTTGTCTAGAAAATTCTCAATCGCATCCTGCCTACTACTGAGGCCCTGATTGAGAAAAAGGTCCTTGTGCATCCCAGATGTCCGGTTTGTTGGGCTAGTGCGGAAACGATGGAGCATTTATTCCTTGATTGCCCGGTGGCTCGTGCCCTTTGGGATTATTCTGGGTTGGCGTATCTGGGGGAGGGGCTCCCTCGTCATACCTTCCCTTTGTTCCTAAAACGTTTAATGGCTTTGATTCACCAACCTACTATGTTTATGGCGGTGATAGCTGTCCTTTGGCGGATATGGCGATCGAGGAACTGGGTGGTCTTTGAGGGCAAGCAGTTTGGGTTCCCAGCTTTAATGCGTCAGTTTCATCAACAGTACGAGAAGTGGGTCCGTTTACCGGTGGATAGGGTTCCAATAGCGAGCCCATGGGGCGCATCGTCTAGGGCCTGTAGGAGCGGACAAAATTATTTGTATGTGGGATGGAGCTGTTCGGCGGGGATCGCACTCGGTTGGAGGGGTGGTTCTTTTCACACCAAATAGAGCGGTCTGGTTGGTGAAGGGGGTTCATTTTCCTTGCCTGGATGACCCTTTGGTGGTGGAATTGATTGTCCTCCGCGAGGCGGTTCTGTGGTGCCTAGAGCTTGGCCTGTCAGATGTGCGCTTTGAAGGGGATGCCAAGGTTATTATTGATAAGATTAATCAGGCGGACGCCAGAGATAACCGTGTTGGTGCTGTTTTGGAGGAACTTCTGCCGTATTTTAGCAGTCTCACTGGCTTTAGTGTTCGATTTGTAGGTCGGCGTAGTAATAGGGTAGCCCATATGGTGGCTCGTAAAGCCCTTTCTTTGTACCCGACTATGAGTCGTTTCTTTGATTTTCAGGCCTGACTGACTTTTTTTTTACTTCCAGGGTGTAACTATCTTTTGCTCCAATCAATATAAGATTATCTTTTGTAAAAAACCAAACACCAAATTGAAATTTGTTCATATAAGCTTATCACATATGACATATGATTAATAATCACCATAGGAACAAAAAGAAAAAAATTTAAAAAGTGTTATTTACAAAAAATTAGAAAGTGTAGCCGGCAGTTTGGAGGAAGTGTGGAACTCGTTTATCCATTAAATTCGATGATAATCCTCCTTTTAAATCAATTAAGTATTAACTTAAATAGTCAAAAAAGTCGCTTGTTGCAACGGAAAAGTTGGAAAACCCAAAGACTAGCAACGGCAGAAAAAAGTATATACGCGTTGCGTTGTACACACAAAAGAATATAAGAAGTAACCTAAAAAGAAAAAAAGAATAAAATAAGTAAAATAAAAACAAATACACACAAAAAGCAATAAAATAATAACTTTCTTGAAAACTTAAAAGAACAATAAATGAAAAGATTTTCTGACGCGATTCGCCAAAATACCCTCCACACGAACTCCAAATCGTCAGAATATGATCTTCACTTGACGCCTCTCTCCCTCTCCCATGGCCTCTCTCCCTCCCTCCTTTAGGCCATCGTTTCTCCTTTTCTGATTTTCCATGATCAGAAGAACCTTCGGCAACTCTCGCTTCCCCTTCACCAATCCCTTTCTGAGACATCGTTAGGAAAATCCCCAGCATCCGGTAATGGGTCGATCCAAGTCCAAAATCAGCCGTAAAATCCGCCGCCGGCTGTCCATCCTCCGCCGCTGCATTCTCCGGCTATGGAACCAAATCCTCATGTGCTCCATCGGGAAACCGATTAGGTACCGAATGATGTCTCTTCCCGCCGTTGTTCCCTCCGCTTCATTGCCTCTTTCCTCTGCCGCCGCCGCCGGCGTAATGGAGGAGGTAGCCCTCGTCAACCGTCCCCTGCCCTCCGCGGCGGCGATTCTTCACAACAGCAGCAACGGCGTCCACCGTGTCGATTCGGATTTGGTTGCTTTGAAGATTAGCCTCTTGGGTGACAGCAATATTGGGAAAACAAGCTTTTTGGTACCCAATTTTCTTCTTCTCGTGATTTTTTATTTTGTGAATTCCATTGTTCATCGGCTAGCAGATTATAATGGGTCTGTTTCTTTGTCCCTGATTTGGGTCTCATGATTTGAAGGCGAAGTACGTCGGCGATGAGACGGATGAATGTGGAAGAATCGAAGGAGGAGGAGATGGGCTGAATTTGATGGGCAAAATATTGCAAGTTGGTGGCGCTCGGATTTCCTACACTCTCTGGGAAGTTGATAGTAAGAGTTCTTTCTCATTCTCAAATGTAATTTCTGAGAAGTTCTGCTCTTTCAAAATCCCATTTCTTCGAATTTTGTTACTGGCGGAAATATTCAGTAATGGCGGAATTTTGGATGATATGCTTACGGAGGACAGGTGGAGATAAGTCGAGGGACCTGATTCCGGCGGCTTGTAAAGATTCCGTGGCAATACTCATCATGTTCGACCTCACCAGTCGGGTCACTCTAAACGGGTCAGGCTATATTGTCTTCTAGTCAGTCATTTGGCGATGATGATCATAGTTCTTTTGATTTCATTGTTCTTCTTGTAAATTTGCAGAGTGATGAGATGGTATCAAGAGGCACGGAAATGGAATCAGACGGCCATACCAATTTTGATTGGAACAAAGTTCGACGATTTCATCCAGCTCCCCATTGATCTACAGTGGACAATTGCCAGCCAGGTAAAAGAAGCTTGAACAGAAACTACAACTCATCTATCTCCATAGATGATCCGCATTCTGAGAATTGCCTCGGTTTCTGATTGATTAATTCAACGACAGGCGAGAGCATATGCCAAGGCGCTGAACGCGACCCTGTTCTTCTCCAGTGCAACGTACAACATCAATGTGAACAAGATCTTCAAGTTTATAACAGCCAAGCTCTTTGATCTGCCATGGTCTGTGGAGCGAAACCTTAATATTGGAGAGCCTATCATTGATTTCTGAAGTTTTGTAGCAGGAACTCGCTCGACAACCAACCCTTTTCATATTGCCGCCTCCTCGATGGACAGTGATGAGTGTCAACCGGTCACCGTAAGTTGTTCTGCTTCGGTGATTCCTGGAGTTGTTTCTTCTTGGAACTGTGGTGGTGGTGGTGGTGGTGGCAGTGGCCTGGCGTGCGATGCAGGTTGTGATTTGTTACCTCCCAAAGTGTAGAGAAAACTCACTGTTCTTTTCCTTTTCCTCATTTCTTCATCAAATCACTAGTTCCTTAATCTTTGTTTCTTAAAATTTTGTCCCTTCTGAGTAATTTATAGTTTCATAGTACTCGGTCGGTTCAGTTCACACATGTACATGATCCAGGATCTTGGGGAAAATAATGCCAGCAATAATGAGAGAGGGGGTGTTTGGTGTATGTTTCAGACTTGATTCGAAAAATTGCAGAAACTCATTACTCAACACTCAACAGTCTAAATGGAAGAGAGAGATTTCTTATTCTTAAAGCAGAATCCATGTGGTTGTAACAGCTGCTAATCTTTATATCATTATTATCCAAAGACGAAAGGGAAAGGTTACCAACTGTTTGATACAAAGACAAAACATTTTGCAGTATCCACAAAGGCTACTGAAAACAAAGGAAATGAACCTTGACAATTCACATCTCTGTCTGCAAAAATGGAAATGAATTACAACTGGAAAGTGGCACCAGCACGCTTCTTCTTTACTCCAGCTTCACCTCTATTTTTGGAGCATCAATCTGCAGGTAAGTGTACGGCTCTGTCGGTTCCTCTCTGAACAACCAAACAAAATCACTAGGCTGAAAATAGCGCTTAACAAACATTGCGAACGAAGCACATGAAACAAGTTAACAATGATTGAAGGCATCTGATCAGCAACATACCCGGGTTTGGAGCGCATGCATTCCCAGAAGAGCTTAAAAGGTCCTGGCACTGTCTTGAATGGATTCCCCTCAAAACAAGCCTACAGATTCAGATTACAATACAAACAAACATACATAAATTTCTGGAAGGTTAAGATTGCAGTTCACCCGTTATTAACAAAAGCAACGAGTAAAACAAACAAGCGAACCAAACCTGCCTTCCTCATTCCCGAAAATAGCTAAAATGTCAAGTACAACAGAATTCTAGACCTTAAGCACGTGACTAAGAATGTAAGAAACCAGCTGAAGATCTTGATCTACAACATCTGAACGCCTAAGAAACAAGACTTTCCTTAGTTTCCTCAGGGGAAGATCAGATTTCTAACCATCCAATTGGCAATTTCCATCTTCAAGGACATTGACATACGTAATATCAAATTCATTCCATCTCAGAATCAAAACAAAATCAATAGGCTGAGCTTAATGCCATGGGTCAAATCTAAACACTTCTAATAGTCAGCAAACAGCAGAATTCAGCGCAACAGTGACCTACATTGTTGACTTGGATGGAGCTTGTGGGAACTTCCAAGATCAGCACATGTGTATCGTCCAAGGAGTCAATCAATAACATTCATCAGTGACCTATTTTCAACAAATTCTGAAATCTTCCTTCAATCAATTGTGGACCTGCACAAGCTTGTGACCATCCATCCAAATTGCAAAGGCAAAAGGAAGCCAATTTTAACTCGCACAAATCCAAAATTGTTCACTGCTACGTGAAATTCCTTAGGCTTCCTGCCAATCCCAAAACCCTAAACACCGAAGTCTCCATAAACCCCTAAATAAGCTAAAGAACATGTAACTTCATCAAATGAGGAAGGGCAGTGATAATTCAAGCGAAAGCAACGAAGCTTATGAAGTACACAAAACTCTGAAATTCTGAATTCCCTACTTCCAACGTTGAAATGTTTACGCGAAGCTAAAGGATCGAAGAACCTCTGAACCCGACGAGTTCACCACAAGAAGGAGACGAAAATGAGGGGAAAGGCTGGAATGTTCAATTACTTGAATAACGTCCTCGGCTCGATCGTTGCATCGATGTGCCTTTGGCTGCTTGTGATCTCCCTCCGACATCCCCCATGGGCTCTCCCTCCTCGGCACCGGCCTCGTCTCGCTCATTTTCTCGGTGGTTTTTGGCGGAACCCTCTGTGCATTCCAATACGCATATTTGGCGTTGTGGAAATGTTATTTCCAAAGCTAGCATTAGTCAAGGCCAGAAGTCAGAAGTCAGAACCCAGAAATCGCCTATGCTGGCGGTGAGGAGACTGAAGAGCACCAAACGTCACCGTTGTAAAGAGTTGTTTGGTTTTGGGAAAGTTAAATTGATACATTGTATGTATACTATTATACATGTAATTAAGAAACTTGTTGTACCAGAATGCTAATTTTTTTTTATAGTAACATGTATTCATTTCATTCAAGAATCAAGTTTGCTTAAACCGGGCCTGGCCCAAATCGGCTTGTAACACACAAAGAAGAGATAAGGGGGGTTCATCCACCCACACAAATTGCCTATCCCAACAGTAGCTAGAATGAGCCAACCAGTGAGCTAAGGAATTGTTCTTCCTCTGGGTAAAGCTCCACATCGTCGAAACACCCGAGAAATTCTCATTCACCTTTGCCAACCTTCTGATTTCATCACACAAAATGCCCAGTTCGGTAGGGTCATTCTCCTCTTTTCCAAGCTTGTTGATGAGCTTCTGGCAATCAGTTTCCACAATCAACGGGCTTAAGCCCCGTCGATTTGCTTCACGGATCCCCATCATTATCGCATTTGCCTCCGCTTCAATGGGTCGGCAAACCCCCTTCTCCTTCTTCGCAGTAACGCCACAAAAGCTTCCACTTGAGTCTCTGATCACACACCCAAAACCCACCCCCACCTACCCTTGCACTCCAGCATCGGAATTCAGCTTGAAGACTCCATCGGGGAGGCTTACATACTTCTGATCTGTCATTTTGAGATGCAACTCCATTGTGGGAAATAGGGTGATGAGCTTCGTGGAAAGCTTGCAACCAGCCCATAACTTTGGGGATAACCAGGTCTTCATCGATCTTGGGGTTATTGAAAAGGTGGTTACACCTCTCCTTCCACAGGTACCATAAGGCCACACTACACCTCTGGATTTGCTCAGTCGAGTAATTTTTCCATATTTCCTTTAGCCAATCAATACACGATTTACCTTCTCCAATCTCAAACATTTGTTTACCTTCCCAAGCCTGCCACGGACGTCGGATCCAACTACACTCCCGAAGAGCATGCAGCTGGGATTCAGGGAGCCCGCAGAAAGGGCACTCATTGCTAGCATCATTGATCCATTCCACTAAATGGCAGCCAACCGGTACGATCCCTCTCCCTAATTTCCAAAGAAACATTCGAACTTTAGGAGGTATATGAGTTTTCCAGAGAGCCTTCCAGAACTCCGATTCATCCATAGAGATAGTTAAAGAATAAGCAGAATTGTTACCATCATCAGAATCAGTCCACACCCTCTCATCCCTGCACAGGGGGTTCTCAAAGGTATTTTCGAAATAAGCTCATAGTCCAGCCGAGAAAACTTCTCCTTTAGCTTACTTTTGTCCCAACTTCCATTGTCTTTATCAATCAGGGATGAAACCAGCTCATCCGAATCCATCCCATCAGGCTGGGGGTTAGCAAAACAGTAACTCTTACATGGAATCCAGGCATCTTCCCAAACCCGAATCGAGTTCCCATCACCCACACGCCACCTGAATCCCCCCATGATTTTCTCCTTAGCAGCCATTAAGCTTCTCCAGATGAAACTAGGTTTATAACCAGTCATAGCGTTGAGAACATCAGAATTTGGAAAGTACATGGCCTTCAAAGTTCTTGCCATCAGGGAGTTGGGTCGAGATAAGATTTGCCAAACTTGTTTTCCAAGCATAGCAAGGTTGAAAGTGCGCAGATCCTTAAAACCCATCCCCCCATACTCCTTATCGTCACACATATCCTCCCATTTCAACCAATAGAGCTTTGTCTCCTTCCCCTTCTGTCCCCACCAGAAACTAGAAATCATTCTCTGGATTTCCATCAGAGTTCCATCTGGAATAAAAAACACAGCCATAGGATAGAGAAATTGAGCCTGGGCCACCGCCTTTATCATTACCTCCTTCCCAGCTTGGGACAACGTCCTACTCTTCCAGTCTTTTAGCTTCTTACGAACTCTCTCCTTAATCTCTTCAAACATCGCCTTTTTAGATCTCCCCACAACAGTAGGTAATCCTAGGTATTTAGGATGTTTAGCCACCTCCCTGATTCTCAATGTTCCGCAAATCTCGAGTTTTCTGCTAGTCTTCACGTTGCTACTGAAAGAGATATCTGATTTGTTAAAATTGATGAGCTGCCCTGATTCCTTTTCATAGCAACTCAGAATCTCTTTAAGTTTATCACATTCACTTAACACTGCTCTTCCAAACACCACGCTATCATCAGCGAATAATAGATGGGAGATAGTAGGGGCCTTCTTTCTTATCTGAATACCATGTAGCTTTCCTTCCTTCTCGGCTCTTCTAATCAGAGCAGAAAGACCCTCCGCGCACAGAAGAAAAAGGTATGGTGAAAGGGGGTCACCTTGACGTAGTCCTCTAGAGGGAACAAAGCAATCAGTTTTATGCCCGTTAACTAGCACCGAGTAGGAAACAGTTGACACACATTTCATGATTAGATTAACCCACCTTTCATCAAAACTGAGCTTCCTCATTTTCTCCAGGAAGTTCCATTCCACACGATCATAGGCCATCGCCATATCTAACTTGCACGCAAAGTAACCATCTTTAGCTTTCTTCCTGTTCTTCATAAACTGAAAGCATTCGAAAGCAATAATAACATTATCAGTACTACATCTTCCTGGCACAAAAGCGCTTTGCTCCTCTGAAATAATATCATCGAGAGTAACCTTTAATCTATTTGCTAGAACCTTTGAGATAATCTTGTAGATAACGCGGCACAGGCTAATATGTCTGAAATCCTTGGCCATCGAGGGAGTTTTCACCTTTGGAATGAGGGCAATGAGGGTGTGATTAAACTCAGGGGGCATATTGCCAGTATTTAGGAAGTTTATAATTGTCTCGGTTACCTTAGCACCAATCGCACTCCAGTTTTTCTGATAGAAACCAGCTGAGAAGCCATCCGACCCCGGGGCCTTGTCTGGAGCCATCTGATCAAGGGCCACTTTAACTTCATCAGCTTTGAAAGGCCTCATCGGTTGCTCATTCATGCATGTAGTAATCTTCCTATCCAAAGCTTGGATAACATCATCCGAGTCAGGGACTAGTCCCTTCTTCAAAAGAGTATGGTAATAGTCAGTGATACAACTCATAACCTCCCTTTGTCCCTTGTAAAGCCACCCTTGATCTTCTTGTAGCATCCTAATGGTGTTTCTTTTCCTTCTGGCAGAGGCTTTAGTATGAAAGAATTTGGAATTTTTGTCCCCTCCCTTGAACCAATCCATCCTTGACCTTTGCAACCAAAGCAGCTCTTCTTGATATATCAACTCTGCTCTCTCTGCTTCAAGCGCTTTCCTTTGCTCTAGAACAACTTTAGTCTTTGGTTTATATTTAAACGATTTGAGCAGCCCTTCAACTCTCTCAATCTTTCTCCTTATATCTCCATATTTCTGTTTACTCCACTTCAACAAATCAGTTTTACAGCTATCTAAAATATCAGTGAGCCCAGCCCTGGAATTTGCTTCACATATCTTCTTCACAATATCAGAACTCTCAGGGTCTTTCAACCGCAAGGGTTCCACTTTGAAGTACCAACCCCACTTGATCTCATCCTCCTCCTTTCTAGCAGTAGACAAAAGTATAGGGCAGTGATCTGACCCACACCAATCAAGATGGAAGACTCTATGGTTAGGATAATGCAACTTCCAGTCCCAGTTTGCCACACACCTGTCCAACCTTTCCTCAATATATCTATCATTTTCCCTGTTATTCTCCCACGTGAAGGGATAACCTTCATAGCCACAGTCAAGAAGACCACAAAATTCCAGTGCTTCCTTAAATTCCATAGCGTGAGCCTCATTAATAGGGTTTCCACCTCTCTTTTCTTCCCCAGACATGATTTGATTAAAATCCCCCATGCAGACCCAAGGGAGGTTACAGCCATTTCTCATGCTTCTAAGAAGGTTCCATGAATTGAATCTCTCCCCTCTGGCAGCCCAACCATAGAAACCCGAGAATCTCCAACGCACCTCCTCATTGTTAGACGAAATGATAACGTAGATATGGTGGAGAGATGAGTCCAGTTTCGAAAGCAGGACATCCTCCGACCAAAACAAACATAAGCCACCTGCCTTCCAACCCTTTTCATTACTAGCCGCCACACCCAGACCACAAGAGTACCCAAGTTCTTTTTGAACTTCCTTCCAGCCCTTTTCATCCTTTTTTGTTTCCATAAGAAAAATAATCTGGGGGGTTTCCCCCTGACCAGCCTTTTAAGTTTAGCAACTGCCGAGGAGCTGCCCAAACCTTGACAGTTGTAGCTTAGGATCTTCATTGGGCTTGGCGGCCTTACTCCTCGGCAAGGTCCGCCACTGCGCCATCCACAAAGTTAAGAGTGTTCCCTTTTGGACGTTTATCAACACATGGCACCACATCCACGTCCATAGCCTCTGGCGCCCCCCTTTCCCCAGTAGACAACTGACTCTGATTTTGCTCACCATTGGGAGATTGTTTCCTAACAATTCTTTTCCACTTCCTCCTGTCATCCTCCTTCTGACTCATCTGAGGTTTCAGCTGAGAGAGATTCTCCATTCTCATGTGTTCAACAACTGCCCTTATGTCCTCCTCCTCCTTAGAAGTAACCTGCTCATTTGTTTGAACTTCCTTTAATTGTCCTTCCACACTGTTATCACTTTGTTGCTGATCACTTCCCTCTTTATCCTTCACGCTAGCTTCCTGCAACTCCCTTGAAATGTCTTCATACACGCAGAGGGCTTTATCACCTGCAGGAGGATTCTTTTCCAGCTTTTCTTTACCACTCTTTGCAGCTTTAACCTCTTCCCATAGTTTAGCTAGTTGCTTATGTTTGCCCTTTTCTTTAAAAGATATCTTTTTAAGAGGCGACTCGGCTCTAAGCCAGGCCCCATAGGGATCTTCGTCCTTAGCACCAGTTTCCATTGCCATTCCACAGGCCTTCTTTAGATGTCCAAATACCCCGCATCTGAAACAGTAGATAGGGAGTCTCTCATAACCCACCATGAAGGAAATCGGACCTTCAGCACCTTGTAACTTGA